TTTTTTTTTTTTATCAAAATTGATTCACTCATAATGTTTTGAGAAAAGAGAAAATTAGGATATTTGGTATTAAAAGTGTCAAGATTTTCAATCATAATTATTAAATATGTGAGATATAACATAAGTTATAATTTTATCAAATTTATTATATGGTAATTATTGAATATTTTGACATTTTTAATACTAGGACATCATTTTTCTCTTTTTCTTAATGTTTTTAAAAATTTTTTACCCAACTTATTGTCTTTTTTATTTTCATTTTATTACATATTTGTAGTCCATACGTACTACTGTAATAATAGCTTTGTAATTACGTACAGTATATTTTTTTAATCGAAGTCAGATCCACTCATAATGTTTTTATACAATTAAATTTTAGAATAGCTACCATTAAATTTTTTTAAAATAATTAATAATATTAAATAAATAAATATTTTTTTTTTGTTGAAATAAAAAATTACATAAATTAAAAGTTAAGTTTTACACAACGTTGTCTGAATCACTTAAGTTTCGGCCTTATCACGAGCAAAACAAAAGGGGTCCTGCTGCGGCTTTCTTCTTGATTGAAAAAAGACTTGTTCAAAGAGGAGCGCAACCACATGTTTCCAATAATTTTTTTGCTTAGGCATACAAGCCAGCGAAAGCAAAAAAATCTTTCTTTTCTCTTTTGAGGAATATTTGTTATCAGTACCATCATCTTGTCTACTTCATGCTTCATCCTCTCTTCCTTCAGTTGATTTTGATTCCTTTCCTTTTCTTAATTTATTTCTCTTGAAAAACTAACCATGGTTAGGCTATGTTTTCTTTTCATCAAGTTCTTAATGGTCAAAGACATATATACTTAAAGAAAAATTATGTTGTATTACGGAAATTCTTTGGACATAACATCTTTAATTAATAAAAAAATAATAATAGTTTAAAAACCTTTACATTTCTTGCTTAAATGTGAAACTTTTGAAAATACGTCATTGTTGAGGATTAATTCTATTTTACATGACTAACAACAATAATTAAGTACATATTACTCGCCACAAGCCATCACTTATTTGATATGTTATCAATTTTTAAAACTAATTATTAGCTAAATTAGCATAACAAACCACAAGTTTTCTTAAAATTTTCTAATAACCAAGACTTAGAGAGAGAAAAGTTAGTTAAAAAGCAAGTTTTACTTCTATTCCATTAGTATATGGTCATTTTTTTTTA